TTTTATGGTGGGGTGGGGTGCAGTTCCTCTAGCACAGGTCTGTTCTCTCACACTGGCGGGTTGGCTGTGAAGGTAATTTTGAGATGAGATTAAGATTTAACTCAGCAGCTTCTAAGTTAAGCAGATTATCTTCCATAATGTGGCTAGGCCTCATTCAATCAGTTGAAGACTAGAAAAAAAGATTAACCTTCCTGAGAAAGAGGGAATTTGGCCAGCAGACTGCCTTGGGACTCTGGGTCTAAAACATCTCACTGGGTGTCTACTCTTCTGGTCTATCCTGCAGATTTTGGACTCGACAGATTTCAGTCATGTGAACCAGTTCCTTAAAATACATTCCCGCTCTCTCTCTCTTTCTCCCTCCTCCCCTCTTTCTTCCCTCTCTCTCGCCCTCTCTCCATCCCATACATAGATCCAGTTGGTTCTGTCTCCCTGAGGAACTGTGATTTAACATAATACATTTTCCAGCACACATTTTGCCCTAGGCACAACCTCAGAACTGAAAAGAGAAGTCCTCGGTTGACCTCTCCTTCTCTACTCAGCATCCTATCATTCATGTATTTATTCACTCGGAATGGATATTTACTCTGTTCCTAGATGCTGGTGATAGGAAAATTTTGCTGCCAGGGTTTTGAACACAGAAATTCTCTGGATAAGATCAAATCTCTCTCAGAATGTTTGTGCAGGTAGCGTAGAACATAAGCTCAGTAGTTCCCTGGCTCTGAATTCACACTCTGGCTCTCACAATTATCAGCTGGTGGCCATGGCAAGTCATTAGGCTTAGTTTCCCCCATCTGTAAAGGGGGGAGTTTTGTTTAGATCTTTAATTTTCCTTTGATTTTTGGATATGCAGTGTCTCAATTAATGAAAATTTAAGGAGGAAAGAGTTGCGTGGAGTTTGAGATCTACTTCAGGGTCCAGGGAGAAACTTTATGTAGCAGTATATCACACACATGTACTACGCACAGAGAAATAGTGCTTACCGCTCACGTGCTCTGTCACATTCATGGTTTTGCCTGACCCTGTTTCATCCTCACTAATCCCTGCCAGCCCCGAGGTAGGCATTAGCATTCACATTTTGTAGAAGGAAAAACTAAGGCTCATGGGCTTCAAACATTTTGTTCAAGGCCACACAGTAATGGCCAGAACCAGGCTTCTGACTCAGTTTCTTTCTTTTTTTTTTTTTTTACTGTCTTTTTGAGACAGGGTCTCGCTATGCAGCTCAGGTTGGCCTTGAGCTCACTTTGTAGCCCAGGCTGGTCTCAAATGTGCAACAATCCTCCTGCCTCAGGCGTGCACCACCACACGTGGCAACTGACTCAATTTCTGAAACTCCTGAGCCACATACAACCTCATATTACTTTGTTTTGCTTAGGAATTTTTGGCACTTGAGGAGAATGGCTTGAGTTCAAGGAGTGCAGGATCTGCTCAGCACTGTGCTTGCTTAGTCTGCCAAAGTGTAATTTTCAGAATATAATTTGTATACATACATGTAGAGTTTATCATCAAGGTTTTATTTAGGTGTTTAATGAAAGAAGTGATAGGATGATAAGGAGTGCTGAAATGAAACTGAGAAGTTCGATGCAAAATTGGTTCATGACTGATAGGGCAAGAAAAACATAACCTTTTGGGGTAAGGTTTTCTATCAGAGGGAAATCACTTGCATCTTTACTGGACAAAGCAAACTAAAACAAATAAACAAAACTCCATATGTACTATATCAAACTATCTACAAGTTAGCAAAGTTAGTATATAACTTTATGGCCTTGTGAAATGTCTGGACCATAATTAACAGTGAATAGTAAATTATGCCTCTAATCGCAGCTACTGTGGAGGCTGAGGCAGGAAGATCACAAGTTTGAGGGTAGTGTGGGCAACTTAGTGAGATCTTAGAATAAAAGTTAGAAAGGATGAGGGATGTAGTTCAGTGGTAGGGTGTGTGCCTAGCATGTGTGAGGTCCTAGCTTCTATCCTTAGTACAAAAAAAAAGTCAATCCCTAGAATCAGAAAGTCTAGGTCATGCTCTAGTATGATGTACCTATACAGCTAGTCATCTTTCTGGTTTATTTCAAAGTTCTGGGTACTTTTTCTTCTGTTGTTCTGTCTACCTCTATGATCAAAAACTTCAACAATAATTTACAATCACAAGTTTTGGATTTCATTGTATTTTGGGCTTATTTGGCTTACTCTGTCTTCACTGCTTTCCTGTCACTGGGACAAAATAGCAACATCTACAACTCAGATGGGGAAAGCTTTATTTTGGCTCTCATCCTTGGCTGACCGGCTCCAAGGCAGAAGTGGCAGGGGCAGAAGCCAGCTGCTTATCCCATGGCAGTCAGGAAGCAGAGGGAGAAGGAGAAGACATGGACAGGAATTCCCCTTCCAGGTCTCGTCCCCAGTCCCCCACCTCCAACCCGGCCCTGCCGCCAGCCCAACAGCTCATTTAGCTGCTGAACTCCTGGATGGAAGAATCCACTGATGAGGATAGCACCCCGTGACATAATTATCTTCTAAACACACACGGCTTTGGGGGATGGTTCAGAGCTAAACCATAACAGACTCATACTCATAGAAGCCTTTATTCTTTCTTCCTTCCATCCTCTTTTTTTTCCAGTACTAGGGATTGAGCTGAGTTGGAGGCTCCACGGGTGAAATACATTCCCAGCTCCTTTTTTGAGACAGGGTCTTGCTAAGTTAGTTGCTAAATTGCCAGGTTGGGCTTGAACTTGAGATCCTCCTGCCTTTAGCCTCCCATAGTGCTGGAATTACAGACATGTGCTATCATGCTTGGCTCCATTCCAATTTTCTTACAGCTGCTGTATGCAACTATGATCATGTATTTTTCCATTCCTTTATTTTCAACTGATCTGTACCTTTGAATTTAAAGTGTGCCTGTGGACAGCATGTACCTGTTAAATTTTGATATAATAATTCAGCCTGACAACAGCTACCTTTTGATTGGACTGTTTAATCCATTCACATCTTGTATTTCACTTTTTTTTGTTTTTTTTTTTTAAGGAATATGCTTTTTGCTTTAATGTCTGTTGAATAAGTTGATGGGGAAAAGCCAAGTGTGGAGACCAGACTCCTGCAAAGAGCCCAAGCCCAGCCTTCTACACTGGAGCCTCGGCCTCTTGCAGAGCTGCAAGAGTTCTCCCAGCGGACTGGCTATGAAGGGGAGGATGGCACCTGATCCTTCTGGGTTTGGGACGGGCAGAGGAGAAGCGACTGCAGCTGCTTCTCACTGGCGTTGGTCCCACAGCCGAGTCCTGGGTACTGCTGTTCTTTCATGGAGGAAGTCCTTGCCCTCCGGTGGTGTCCCAGCTGATAGGTCAAGGCTGCTGCCTTGCTACCAGGGATACTTCATGCTCAGGATACCTCTCCCTGTGCTCGGACCAGGCAGCATCTCTCAGTACAGCATGGGCTCCAAGATTGAGTCTTGCTTCTTTTGAGAGGTGGCCTCCAGTGAACAGCTTAGGGCCTTCTCTCTCTCAGAGTTAGCTGCCCGCCTTCTTCATGCGGTAGGAAAGGTTACAGAAGAACTCATACCAGAAAAATACAAAGCCTGTGGAGAGGGCAGCCTTTAGCATGCTTGGGGACAGACCCTTGAAGAAGCCATGGGTGCCTTCTTCTAGCAGCATCTGCTTGATGCAATCCAGGAGGCCCCTGTAGCTCCACACCTGGCTGAAGGCTGTTGTTTTTAACAGATTTCATGTATTTTTTTTGTTCTTTTATCCCAGTTTACTACTTCTTTTGTATGGAATGAATATTGGTGTAACAACTGATATTTTTATTTAAGCTCCCTTTTGCTCATTTATTTCAATACCAGAAAATCAAAGTGAAGAAATTAATTTCTATCACATTTTACAAATATTACCCAAATGTGACTGATTTCCTGTGTTCTCAAAGTTCCACCATTTGCTAACATTGCTGCTGTGCTAGCAAGTCAATTTCCCTAATGTCTTATTTGCGTAACGATAGGACCTTGTAAGCCAAGAACAGGAAATAGATCAGTTCCCCCCAGGGATTTGTATCCTTGCCTCCTGTATTAGTCAGCTTTCTGTTGCTGTGACAAATGCCTGACACAAACAGTTTAAGGGAGAAGAGGCTTATTTTAGATCATGATTTCATAGGGGTCAGTCCATGGTCAGCTGGCTCAGTTTTTCTCAGGTCTGTGGCAAGGCAGAAGCATCATGATAGAATGGCTTGGCAGAAGAAAGCTGTTCACCTCATGGCAGCTGGGCAGCAAAGAAACAGAAAGAACTACTCTCCAAGTCCAGCCCCTCTCTAAAGTTCTCTTAATTCAAAGGAGTTGACAGTCAGTATTAATCTTCACACTTCCCTTCATACAAAGTATAACTTTTGTTCCTTAATGGCTACATTATAGGTGATAAATGAAATTTATATTTAAGTATAAAATGCTTTGAAGGCTTTGATTATGTAATACATTTGTCCAATGTATCCTACAAAAGAGGAGAGCTGACTTTTTGTATTTATTCAAATAGTTACATAGCTAGGGACTCAGCAAAAATACTTATTTCTGAATTCTGAGGAAGAAGTGGGAAGAAGATATTAAAAAAAATTTCACTTCAGCTTGCGTAAGCATAGCTTGCTAAATTGAGGATTATCAATAGATCAAGAAGAAAGCAAATAATTAAAAATGAAAGAAGAAAGGACTTCCTCCTACACATCAGAAAACCACATTAAAAACAATGCAACAGTATAGCAAAACAAATAAGCATTATTATATTTCCCTTATTAGCTTATTAGGCTTATGTGATTTGTTCTTGACTCACAAATCAGAAGTGAACTTCCGTGGTCAGTTTCTTCTGGGCTAAAAAGTGATCTGGCACCATGGTATAATCCTATGCTCTAGTCTATAAGTGTCTATCTGTGGTCAGCTAAGGCTAAGAAGCCTGGCTCTGCAAGTCTATTGCAGTTATGAGTATACACAATCTTTTCTACCAAGGCATTAGGACTGTCTTTTTTTTTTTTTTTTTTAGGACTGTTTCTCTTTGTTGAAGAATCTAGCTTATATAGTACTGGACCTCTTCAGGCAAGCACAGAAGAAAAGCAAAAACTACCTGTTGTAATTTTTGAAGATTCTATTAGTTTATTACAGTAGTTTATATATAATAGAGTAAAATAAATTCCTCTGTTGGGTTATAGATTTTGTCAGTTTCTCCTTAAGGGTTGAGAATATACTGTGAAGCTAGACATGATGGCACATGCCTGTAATCCCAGCACTCAGGAGGCTGAGGCAGGAGGATCGTTGCAAATTCAAGACCAGCATGGGCTACAAAGTGAGTTCAAGGCCAGCCTGAACTGCATAGTGAGACACTGCCTAAAAAAGACCAAAAAGAAAAAAAAAAAGAGGAATGAAACAATGTTTTTTGCAGGAGGACAGATAGAAGTGAAGGTCATCATGTTGAAGAGAAATAAACTTGACATAGAAAGAGAAGTGTCACACACTTTCTTTCATAATTGAAGCCTGAAAGTAAGAGACTGCTAGGGAAGGGAGAATGAAAGGGCCCATGGGGAAAGGATTATCAAGGAGGGCAGAACAGGTTACCAGGGAGGGTAGATCTGATTAAAGCACACATCTACACATATATGGAACTGTTACACTCAAGCCCATTAATTTGTACAAGTAATATGCATTAATAATTGTAATAGAAAGCAACATAAGGAAGACAACCTTTTTTTTTGTGGGACAGCCTGTCTTATTTTGTAGGTTAAGCATATATTGCAATTCTTATATTATTATTCCAATTAAGAAATATGGAACATACTTAATTGATACTAGCATCCCTCTTGCTGTGAATAACACATTATGTGTTATAAGGTGCAGACTAAGATATTAAGCCTTTAGTATCTTAGCCATCTAGGAATCACCAAAAATGATTTGGCATGTAAAAAACATTAAAAATTGCATTTTCTAAATTCTGGAACTGATCTTGGTAAGGTAGCATTAAAAATAATTTTCAGAAAAGAATCATCATTAGCACAAGACAGATGCTTGGGAATAATGAACAGTTGTAATATGGATAGTTATTAAACTGGAGTAATGATACCCTATATCTAGGTAAACAAAACTGAAGATGTAATTATAAGGAACTTCATATATTTTGCAATGAAGTACTTTGGCTGTTATTTTGTTTGTTTTAAATAATCAAGAACATAACAAAGTTGGTATAAAGCACAAAAAATTGTTCTGGTTAGATAGTATCTAAACAAATAGTATCCAAATAGTATCCCAAATAGTATCTCTCCTATTTGGATAGATGAAATTAAAAATTTGGATACAGAAATTAAAAATTACTGTATTTGTCAAAAGCAAAGTGAAATATTCTGTGACTAGTTTGTCATTTTCAAGTAGAGAGAAAGAAAACCAAATTATACTCTTACATTGATGTAACAGTTGACAGTAAAGAATTCCCAACCTTTAAAAAAATCTTTGGAATAAGCCCCTTAAAACAAAGCCAATTTAGTAAAATTTTTAACACATTTCATTGTTCTTTTCCCCAGATTTACTATTTGAAGGTATGATAGAACAAAGAATACAAAGTTTTCTATTTCTTAAACTTCTACAACCTGATCATTAAGAATTGGTCTTTTACTAATCTTACATATTCTGGTACATTTATTTCTAGAGGACTTATTTTTCTCTTTGATAAATCAGACCATAACTGCAATCATGCATATACATTTATGTTTCTTTGCTATTTTAAGTGTTGGCATAGTCTCAAATATGTATATGAATGGCAGTTTGTAACCAATGTACTTTCCTCCTATTTCCAGATAGGGATATTAGGCAGGTAGCTAGTGGTTTGAAATAAGAAAACATTTAGGTGACAGCAGACGTCAAAAGCAATCATTATAAATCTTTCTTTTCTCTTTATTGCTTTTCTTTCTTTCTTTCTTTCTTTCTTTCTTTCTTTCTTTCTTTCTTTCTTTCTTTCTTTCTTTCTGTTTTTTTGACACAGGGTTTCACTGTGCAGTTCAGGCTGACCTTGAACTTGCTTATGTAGCCCAGACTGGCCTCCAGCTTGCATGGCGATCTTCCCACCTCAGCCTCCTGAGTGCTGGGATTAAAGGTGTGAGCCATCATGCCCAGCTATAAAATCTCTATGGCCACACATTCCTTTGACATTTCTTAAGATGGCAAAATGAAGCACACATTAATATAACTCAAAAGTTTGTCCACTCTAAAACATATAAGAATAAGAGGCAAAAGTGCATGTATACTATGTGTGGTGCACAATGTGTATTCTGGTTTCCTGAGCAACTAAGCAAGGTTATATCAGTTTGCAAAATCATGAAGAACATAAACCAAGATAATGTGATAGAGTGCTGGAAAGTGTTTTATCATGGAGAGTGTAGTTTATCGGAATTTCCTGGATGTAGGCAGGATACATAAAGCTAAATATCTCTTTGTGCCTAGAATGTGTAGGAGATATTGAAAGGATAAAATTGAATGAAGAAAATACATGAATAAGATCTTTAGCCCTAGCGCACGGGGAGCCTCGACCGACGAAGACTCACTCCCGGCCTCAGGGT